AAGCTCAAATGAGTGAGAAGGACGATGAAGGAAACATCTGTGCTGTGTCTGCTCTGTAAGTAGAATCTCTGTGTTTGTTTGAATTCTTGTACTTTGGCTGTCTGCTCTCCTGATAACTGATGATGGAGGAGAAGACATGAAAAACAAATCAGGCTGAATTCAAGTTAAGGAAATAAGGATAAGCTGCATTTGTCGGTTGCAGCTGCCTGCAGCTGAGATGACAGACCTAGTCAACCATACATACAATATACAAACAGTGGGGAGACAGGCCTGGCTAAGTAGCAAAAAAGGATAGACAATGAAATATGTAACACATAGGGGCAATTCAGGAGAAAAAATAAGGATTTCTGCTCATAATGACTCCCCTGTTGGCAGAAAACAAAAAAACCCCACTCCATAGCACACAAAGAAGCACAGATATCATCACGCTATAACACCATGAAACACAGACAAGCAGCATCTGCCAATGAGCACAGTGGGTCATGGACGCTGCTACCTCATCGCGCCTCCGGCTGAGCAGCTGTCCCTATCAGGTAGGAGGTAAGCGTGGAAGGAGGCATTGGATCCGTAGAAGGGAGGGCAATGGTGAGGGCGTATCAGTATTACTGTGCGTTTGTTTTTTGAGTTCAGCATGAGAAAGTGTCCTTTCGCCTATTACTCAAAGACCAAAAGTCCACGGCCTACGCAGGCGGCCTTGAGGAGTAGGGCAGAGAGTCAGTTCAGTCTCGTTATCCTATCTTTTGGAAGAATGTTGTTGTCAACCTTCAAGCAGCTGGTGCCGTCTGGGGTGGGGGTGTATCCGCATGAGAGATGTTGGTTATGTGAAATAGGGTGAACAAACTGCATTAATTCTTCAGTCGTTTTAATGTCCATCACTGGTCTTCAGGTGTATCTCTCTTTTGGAGAGCATGTACTGTATCAGAATTTCAGGAGCAGGACCACGCTTCCAAACACGCTCCTTCCGGCTGTCATCTATATAGGCTCCCCTAGTTCTGCAAGCTGATCGTTCACGTTTACGTGCCCCACCCTCCCTCCCTTCGTCTCCATTCTTCAACTGCTTCACTTCTATTTAGTAAATGTGAATCTGCCAGGCCCGGGAGCCATCGCCAGTCCCCTTTTGAGCCTTTCCCCAAACCGCAGCTCATTTCATGTTAAAGCATCACTTTTTCCTACTAAAACGCTGTCAAACAGAAATGCGGATGTGGGCCCAGCTAGTGAATTAAGAGCTGTGAGCTCTTCCAAGATATTTCCCATATTTTCGTTCAGTAAGAACAGTCTGAGCTCTCACCACTCTTCCCACACTTTCGATCATAGTTGCAAGCCAGGTGGGTTTTCAACAGTAGTTACAGCTTTCTTTGATTTCTTATAAGGCAGGGCCAAGCCAGCTCCAAGCAGGAAGAACCCCGTTATCATGGTGCCGAATAGGTAGATGTCTTCAGTATCCTTGATAGACAGTCCCGCCAGGAACACAACGTGTCACTTCTGACACCCGTTCATCATGTATCCAGCAGGGAACATCCCTCCAGGATACTCAGGCGCTCCTGCACCTAGGCTTCTTGTCAATAATAGAGTGTCAATTGCATATTGACCAGTTGATCAAATCCATAGTTCTTTAGATTTTAGAGAACAATAGCGAGACTGAGAGGCTCTATCAGCGTTGAAAACACCATGAAGACCAACTGCAGGTCTGAACTGACTCTTTATCTTTACTCAGGAGTCGAGGAAACACAGCAGGCAGTGAAAAGATCAAATCATTCACTCGATATATCAACACAGCTGTTTGTGTGTTTGTCAGCTGTTTGTGTGGAGTTGTTCTTTATGTTCAGCTCAAATCAACCTGAGTGTCATTTCTCTTTAGTTCTGATCTCACTGCTGAGCTGCACAACAAACCAAGGTCAGTAACCTTCTTCTGTCACAGTTTAAATCTGAGAAATGCTCACTGATATGACCTGATTGGGTTCATGTTTCACAGTGTAGCGCACATATAAAGTGATGAAATGAGGATTCTGCAAAACATTGATTTTACCATTTTATCACATATAAAATTATAAGTTTTTCATTTTAACCCTCACAGCTCGTCTGACTGTGAGTCCCAGCAGCTCTCAGTTCTTTAAAAGAGACTTTGTGTCTCTGAGCTGTGAGGAGGACGACAGCTCTGCTGGATGGACTCTGAGGAGAAACACAAGCAAACGACAGAGGACTCAGTGTGGAGATGGGTGGGGAGAACCAGCTGGTTCTTCCTGTAACATCACTGTTTACCAATCATACAGTGGAGTTTACTGGTGTGAGTCCAGAGAGGGTCCCATCAGTAACATGGTTAACCTGACAGTCACTGGTAAGCTGAGTGTGTGGAGTTAGTGTTGATGAAGCTGTGTGTAAATGGATGAAATGCTGTAGTTTGTCTCTGTGTTGAGGTGGATCAGTGATCCTGCAGAGTCCTGTCCTCCCTG